GGGGGTCCGGTTCATCTCTACCGGGGCGCTGCTGGGTGAGCTCTGCCTCCTTCCCTGGAGCGCCCCTGCGCTCATCCTCCTCTTCCTCCTCCTCCTCCTGCCGTCCCTGCCCAGAACTTCCCACCCTCCCGGCCCTGGATTTATCCTGGAGGCAGCCAAGCCTCCCGGGGCTGATTGGAGAGCCCCGGCGGAGTCTACGCCCTTCCCTCGTGTCTTGGCTCCCGGCGGAGTTTTTGGCTCTCGGCTTCTCCCTCGGATCCTTCCCCAGGGATCCCTCAACCTCCCCCTGCCAAATCACCCCCCTTGCTTTTAGGACCAGGAGAAGGATGGGAGTTTTGGGATCAAAACCCTTCCCAAATCCAACAAAACCCACAAGTGTCATAACAGATTTTTTCCCTGAGGATCTCCTTTATTTACAGTTGTTCTTCCAGAGTTTCTGTCTGGAATATTTCAATATATCTCAACATATGGTGACCTCCCATAGCTCTGCTGACTCCAGACTCCTTTTGCTGGTGGAACGAGCACTGGTCAACTCTTTCATTCCCAAAAAACTTTGCCCAAACCCAGCATTTTCCCTCAGCTGAAAAGCCTGGGCATGTTTTTGGTTTTTTTAAAACCTTAAAAAGGGAAACAATAGATTTCCTTGCAATCCCCTGAGGACTTTGTTGATTTTATAGGAGGGTGTTTGGTTACAGCAGCCCAAAGCCCGGAGCAGGTTGTGCAAACGTGTCCCAAACTCTGCTTTATCCTGCCCTTTTCCAACCCTCCTCCTTTAACCTGCTGGCTTGGAAAATATCCCCCTGTATGCTTGGAAAGACTCAGCAGCTTCAGTCATTCAGAGAAAGGGGATTTGGGAAGATTTATGGAGGAATTGGAGCCCAAGAGTTTTATTGTGACTCACCAACCCCTAAATTGGGATTCTGGAGAGCGAATTAGGAGTTGGGAAAGGTGTTGCTGGGGGTGGGGGTGTTCCAAAGGGTCCCTGCTGGATTTGGGGGGGCAGTTTTCCCAAGGCAGAGCCCCTTCCCCTGCCCAGCTTAGGCTGAACCTGCAGGGACTCATCCCATTGTCCATCCACAGCTATTCCAGGCTCCAGACCCAGCAGAAGGGCTCCTCTTCCCACAGGCAATTCCCTTCCTTCCAGGGGGTTCTTTTTATTCCAGTTTATCATTTCCCAACCCATAATGGAGGGGAATAGAGGAATAAAATAAATGCCCTCCCAGAATGTCCTGAGTTGTTTCGTTGGATCCAAAGGGATCCTGGATTGTAGCTCCTGGCCCTGCACAGGACAGCACCAACCATCCCACCACGTGCCTGAGAGAGTTGTCCAAACACTCCCTCCATACTCATTATTCCCATTTCCAGGCCCTTTTCATCCCGAGCTGGCGAGGGGAGCAATTTCCTTCCTTGATTTCTGTGCTGATTTGGGGGAGTTTCCTGTGATTTGCCTCTTTCTGCTGCTGAAGCTCCGTGGGAAACCCCTCAGATTTGCAGGAGAAGCCCCTGCCCTGGGATGCTGCTGTTTGCCAGGGTTTTTCCCAGTGCCAGCTGCAATTCCCAGTGCAAGGACCCTGTGGAGTCCTGGGACAGAGCCCCGAGATCCAGCTGGCAGTGGGAGATACCCCTGAGTGAGTGTGGATGGATGAAGGGGAGGAGAAGGGACAGGATCCCGGCGTTTCCAGGGGCTCCAAAGCCTTGGAGCAGCAGGAAGAGGAGTTATCTCACCAAGAGGGATTCTGTGGTTTGATCTGGATGTCAGGGAGGTCCCATTTGGGAAGTGAGGGAACTGCTGGAGTGATGGGGCTGAGTGGGATGGCAGATAAAAGCTTAATGGCCTCCTGCAAGGCTTTTTTTTTTTTTGCCAAATGCTGGGAGGATAAGGAGCTGTTGGGAATGAGGTGGGAAGAAGAGGGGAACAGCCTGGAACAGGGGCAGGGGTGGAGAGGGGGAGATTTTATAATAATATATAAATATATATAACATATTATTATAATAATAAAGACAGAATTAGACAGCTGTGCTGGGAGATACTAGCACATATAAATCAGAAATATATTTCAGAAGATCAGAGGAGCTCAAAGAGTTAAATACTGTCCGTAAAAAAAGCACAGTAACGTGTCTTCTCCAGCTGTTCCTTAGGAAAGAAAACCAGTGCTTACACCCTCCCGATGGAGCATCCCAGAGGAGCAAATCCTCTGGGAGCTGGAAGGGCCAGACTCCAAACTCTTCGGTTTAATAATAAATAATACAGAATGCCCTCAGTCCTCTGCTGGGGTGGCAGCGTCCCCCTCTCTCTCTCTCCCAAGCCTTTCGGGGAGCTTTTCCCAAGCTCTTCCACCGGGAATCCTTTGGAATTCGGCTGATGCCGGGAGGAAAGCTTGGCTCAGGAGCGGAGAGGGATTCCCGGCTGGTCCTCACCTCCACCTGCCAGCCCTGAGTGCCACCCGCGGGGCTGCGGGAGGGTCCTGAGCGGGGCTGGCCATGCCCGAGCAGCCTGGGGTGGCACCGGGGGGCACCCCGGGGTACCCCCCCCCAAAGGCGGCCCCGTAGGGGCTGCAGCAGGAGCCGTAGGAATAAGGGCTGGCAAAGGTTGGAAAAGGCTGGGAACGCCCCAGGCAGGGTTTGCCATCCCTCACCAGCACCGGCACTGCCACCCTGCGCGGGGGAGGAGGGTGGGCAGCCAGTTCCAGGGATTTGTCCTGCCGCTGCCTCTTGCTCTTGTAGCGCCGGTTCTGGAACCAGATCTTTACCTGGGTGGAGCTGAGCTGGAGCAGCCGAGCCAGCTCCTCCCTCTCCGGGGCCGACAGGTATTTCTGCCGCTGGAACCGCTGCTCCAGCTGGAAAACCTGAGCCTGGGAGAACAAAACGCGCGGCTTCCTCCTCTGCCGCTGCCTGGGGAGGGGGCAGGGGGGGCTTTTCTTCTCTTCCCCTTCCGAGGGGGGGGTGAGCGAACATTTCCCTGAAGAGAAGCAAAAGACACGGCAAAGTGAGACCCAAATCCATCCCTGTTCCTTGGGATTTATTAGTTTATCACCTATCAGCCCCACTTCACTTTATTCCCAAGGGAATAAAGTGAAGTGGGGCTGATAGGTGATAAATTATTAAATCAATGAATTTAAGTTTGATAGCCGATATGTTTGAGGCTGATAGTTGATAAATTAGGAAAGTAATAAATTTAAGGTTGATAGATCAATAAATTAATAAATTTATGGCTGGTAGTCGATAAATTTAAGGCTGATAGTTGACGAATCAATAGATTGATAAAGTAATAAATTTAGAGCTGATATAGTTGATAAACTGATACATTAATAAATTAATACATTTAAGGCTGATAGCTGATAAGTTAGTATGAATTTCCCAATGATGGTTAAGGGAATTTAAGGAAATTCTCCCCCTCCTTTTTTTTTTTTTTATTTTTTTGGTATAGATTTAGGCTGTTCTTTTAGTTCTGGATAACGGCTCCTTTTGGTGCCTCCTAAAGATGCCCGGGGATATTTTTGGGACTGCCAACCTGAGGGGCACGGGGAAAGCAGGGCACAGGAGGGATGGAAACCAGACCTCCAGGATCCAGGGAAAGGGGGATCCCACATCCCTGGGAGTTCAAGCAAAACCAAAAAAAAAAAAAAAAAAAAAAAAAAAAAAAAAAAAAAAAAAAAGAAGGGGTTGGGAATGAAGGACTCTGAAAGAAGACGCGAAGGAGTCGATGGCTGGAGGTTTTTTTGGATCTGCTGGGATTTCGAGTGGCACACGAAAAACCGGGATCATTCCCGGCAGCCGCTTCCCGGCTCTTGGGATGCGCTCGCTTTCCCCGGCAGGCACAGCATTCCTCCGGGAATTCCAGGGGATTCTGAGGGGAAATGGGGTGTCGGAGGGCTCTGAATGCAGGTGAGAAGAGGGCAGAGCCCTCCGCCGGCTCCTCTCCCCCTCTCTCCCCCTCTCTCCCCCTGTATCCCAGAGCATCCCAGTGCTCCCGCTCCGCTCCTACTGGTTTCCCCGTTCCTCCGCTCCGCAGCCGCTGGGAATTGGGGAAACACGAGCCAAGGAAGCCTTGAGGGATTTCAGCAGCGGTGAGAAGGGGGACACGTCCGATCCCCTCTCGGGGACCGCTCCGGAGCATCCCCGGGGACGCCTCGGTATTCCTAGCGGGGACAATTTACGGACCATCGACACGGGGGGAAGCTTGTCATCGAAAACGGTGGCGGTGGGCGATTTGGGGCAAGAAAATCCCCAGTTCTATCCTATATCCACCCTCTCCCAGCTGTATGCACCTCCTGGGCCGTTCCATTCCCCCGGGGCAGCCGGAGCGCCGGGGGCGCAGGGGGGATGCGCTGGGGTACCGGGGCTCACCGGGATGGCAGGAAAATCCCCTGAAGAACCCCCCCAAAAAACATAACATATAGAAAAAAAGGGGTAAAAGGGAGGGGAAAGGAGGAAACCGGCCGTGGCCCGCGGCGGCTGCCACTGAGAGCGGCTGGAGTGGGCGTGCGAGGATGCAACGAGCGGCTCCGCTGCCCTCGCTTTTTCGCTCCAGGGGAACGAAAGCAGCTCCGTGGGGTCTCCCCGGTCTTTCTATTCCTCTGTTTAGTGGGGTCTCTCCCGCTCCGACGCCCCCCGGCCCCGAGGGTCACTCACGCGGCTGCGGCTCGTCCTCCCCATCGGG